ATGGCTTCCCCTTCACCTTCCTCTCATATGCCAGGGCTATGGCAGACTACTAAGGGCTCTGCCCTCCTGTGCAAAAGACAACTCAAAGCAGCTATGGTCACTGCTCTTCAGGCCGCCATGCCTGACTCTGCCTTAAAGCTCCCTTGGAGCGGCACTACCTCAACTGCGGCCTTCCAGATGCAGCACCTAGCAAGGTCATGAAGATGGTGTCTACCATAGCCAGGTAGGTACCTCTCCGCCCCCTTCCTCCTCCTCCTCAAGCTGGGCTGCTCGCCATGGCCAGGCTGAGCGCCCAGCTGTTCTTCGTCCTCCCAGGCAGCGCTCTGAGTCCAAGCTGCCCGCTCAAGCAGTATGTTGTCCARCCTTGCACACCGCAAATGAGGAGGAGCAACTCGCTCCTCCTGGAGATATAGCGGCCTACTTGCCTCTTGGGCAGTGACTTCCAGGCCGCGCAGCCTCCAAGCAACCGGTACCACCTCCCTTTCGGAGGGAAACATCATTGCAGGCTCTGATATCGTCCGTACAGGCCCTAGACTCAGGCTACTTGGACTGGTACTGGCCTACCTCTACCCTACCGCTACTGGGCCTCTAAAAATGCCAACTTTTTTGTCTCCTTCTGCTCGGCCTCGAGTACTCGACACTTCTACCACTACTTGAGTGGTACCGGCCTACCTGCTACTTGAGTGCTTTTCCCGCTGCTCTAAGTGCCGCAGGCCTACCCCCGCTACTTGAGTGTTTTTCCGTCTGCAACCTTCAAAGTCACGGCCACAGGTAAGTACCGGCCCTGCAGGGCCTCCAAACGAACAAGTACCCTTGCGGGTCACACACACACACTCAGGCTGACAAGCACTCAGACAGGCACGCAGACCAGCAGGCACGCACACACACAGACTTAGAAAATGCAGCAGAACGTGGAAATCTCAGCAAGGCATACATTCCAGCAGCAAATCCCCGAAATCARCAGTGTTCTCAGTCTGTGTTTTGGCGGGTCATTACAGTTCAGATCATGACAAAATGACAATGTTAATCTTGCACCTCATTTCTTGCACTGAAATCTGAGAACTACTGCAGCCAAGTGCTCACCAAACTTTGGTGATTGTAATAAACCCGCTTCACATTTTCCCTGACGTGAGCAAGGGTCGTCATTTTTGGTCAAAGGCCAGAAACCGGGGGTCAAAAGTCACGTCCCAAGCCTCAGAAATGTCTGAGAAAGTTCCTAGGGTCAAGAGGTACCAGGATCTGAGTCAAAAGCTGTGTCTAGTACCCCAACGTGACACAGTTGGCTTTTGGAAAATCAAGAGTCAACCCAAGCACGAGATTTTAGGCCCAATGTCAAAGTCAGCCCGTTGGCCAGCCATGGGCGTCGATCAGATGCACATCATTGGTTGTCTGCAGGTATCCGGAAGATTCCAGTCCCGACTGGGAAAAGTTAATGCTGCTGCAAAGCTGCATCCAGGCCGTTGAGACTCGACAGTGAGCAAATCTGAAGCGTCGATACCAACAAAGGGAAGACTGGTCCACGCCAGTCTGCATTGGTCAATGCTACAAAAGAACGGCCAGACACTGGGGAGGGCATTCTGCCTTGTGCTGGCTTGATGCTAGTATGGTATGGCGAGGTCGCTGGAGTTTATGCTGGCGGCAGTGCTGCTCAGGGGGGGGGGGCAGCGGCAGAAGAGATTATGTTGGAGCGGCCATTGCCGCCATAGTTATAGACATTGGTGTTGAGGTTGGGCGAGAAGGGGGAGGATCAAGGCTGTGAGACTGGCGAGGGTTTGAGGGGAAGCTTACCTGGACTTACCTGGCGACGTCGTGTATGATCTCCTGCTCATCTGTACGAATGTGACGAAGATCTGCGCCATCCTCCCTGATTGGCTGCTGAAGAGGCTGGAGGATGAGCGCCCTGCTGTGACCTGCACACTGAAACTGTCAGAGGACGTCATAGAGAGACTGCACTGCTCAGGTGGTGACAGGGGGGGTAATGCGCGAGGAGGAAATGGGCAGGAAGAGACTTCATGCCTTATTGATTATTACTGGGCCTCTTCTCCTCCTCCTCTATGTCTCTTCTCCCCACTACGTCATTCTCTTCTCTGAAGGTACAATGCTCTTGGAAAGTGCACTATGCTGGGCATGGAGTCATGGACATAAAATCGATTTGGACTCTTTGTAGACATTATTGTATCCGCTGGGTTCAGACTCGTATCACAACACTGGTGGGCTTCTCACGAGACTGGATTCATCACATGATCCTCTTCGTGCGCTTTCATCAGTGGAACCTTCTGCAGAAGATTGCAATGTGCATTGACCATTATCGTTTTTTCCTTCTTTTTTTTCTTTTCTTTTTTTTTTAACCATTATCAGCGATCCCCCTTTTGTCATCGAAGACAAAAAAACTAACAAAGTAACGAATGTTGATTGCAGATGATAAGTCAAATAAGCCTAATAAGGTCTTTTTTTTTACCTTCAATACTTTAAGGATGTTGTGAATCGCCGCAGCCATCTTCTCCGGGGAAATCGCAGAGAGGACAAACACCTGTGCGCCATGAACCAGGGTTGCTAGAGATCTTTAGCAAAGCAAATTCAAAGAGAAAAAAGAAAAAGAAAATCATCGTAAATTTAATATATATTTTTTTTAAGTATTAAAAACAATAAAACATATTGAAAATACCAGGATGTTTAGTTCATACATGCAATGATGCAAGAATTTTCTTTTTGAAAGTTCTTTTGTAATTCTGTTTTCAACTGTTCAATAACTCTTTATCAACTTAATAAAAGTTAATAGTAGTTGATAATATTAAGGATTATAATTTATAATTTATTAACTTCTTTTTTTTCTCTTTTGTGAGGGCCGACCAATGGGTTGAGACTTAGAAACGTGCGAAATTAATTGAACCCTCTCAGCAATGTTAAGAAAAGTCGACAACCGATTTTTTTTTTTTTTGAAACAAGTACAGACGCGGCAGGTTTTGAGTTCGCAAAGGCAAAAAAAACAAGCGCCCGCAAAGATATCACGGAGCGCGTTTGAAACGATGATTTTGGTTGAAAAGGATATCCTGGGCCTTTTTTTTTTTTGGCTTTTCCTGTCTGACACCATGCCCCACCCCTGTAGTTATGACACCCGTGCCGCCATCATGGATGCGGTACCTTTATTGCTTTTTCAAACTTGGCGGCTGTTTTCTTTGTGGCCGCATGTTTTTTTGTGCATTCGGAACTGTGTTTTTTTTGTGACAGCAAAGTACTTGCCCTTTTGTCTTTTCTTTTTCCTGGAATGAATAGCCATGAACTACCATAAGTTAAATGAAGAATATATTATTATATTGTCAGACTTTTTTTTCTTTTTTTTTCTTTTTTTTTCCTGAGAAAACAGCACTTCATTAGTCAAGGGGCCCAGTGCCAATGCCACAGTGATGAACAATGGGAACGCCCGGGTTATCTTGCCCTTCCTCAAGCAGCGAGCCCCATCCCCGCAACCTATGAGCTCGATACGCTAAAGCCTGAGCACCCGGCCTTGAGATACAGCAAGTGACGCATGGTCATATGAAGATGAGTGATGCACAGGTCCTAAGGAGCACCAATGCGATGAATAGGACTCAGGACAAACAATGCAATCAGCAAATAAGCAATGTGCATCCAGAAAAGAATTGATATAATGAAATATAGCACAGTGGAAGACTCAAAGATATGAGCTGACTCGTCAGAATCGGACTCAAGTCACACGGACATCATCAGACATGTCGGGTCACCAAGGAGGGATACATGCATGGAAGAAATCCGTCCTTGTGCACACACATGGGGAGAAGACCACGGATGATGGTGATCGGAAGGAGACAAAGAAGGAAGAAAGGGGAAGTAGGCAAGAGAATAACTTGCGATGGTCCAAATATAGTCTCCCCCATCGAATGTCTAATAATCGTCTCTCTCAGAATATCGAATCAGATCCTGGGTGCTCATAGGCCCAAAATAGTCGCTCCCTGAAATCTCTCTCCCTCTCTCTCCCTCTCTATCTGAGATAAGAAGAAAAAGAAGAAGAAGAATAAGAAGAAGAGAAACAAGAGAAAGAACAGAAAGAAGTGGGAGGACCAAGGAAGAGAAAGAAGAGAACCAAGGACAAGAGAGGAGGAAAAGGAGCCGGAGCAGGAGGAGGAGGAGGAGGAGGAGGAGGAGGAGCAGGAGGAGGAGGAAGGACGAAGGAGGAGGAGGAGAAACAGGAGAACAACGAAAAATAATAAACAGGAATAAGGAGACAATGGAGGAGAAGAGGGAAGGAGGAGGAGGAGGAGAATAATGAAAAAGAAAGATGAGGAGCAAAGGACACAATAGAGTAGGAGGAAGGAGGAAGGAGGAAGGCGGAAGAAGAAAGAGGCACAATTCTGTCTCTAGGTCAGCATCCAAAGTAACATCGCTGAGATCAGTGCATCAACTACCACAAGTAGATAGGACACCAAGACGAACTGGGAGTTTGCATGCATTCCGTCGAACTTTTGGAAAACGTATGTAAGTCAATCTGACCTGTCCACAATTGAACACTCACCAGGGTGACAATATCCACAGAATTTACTGGGATATTGGAAAGGAGGTCATCTGCAGTTATATCTTTTACAAAGGCGTGAACACGGCTCTCATCGTAGCTCTCATGTGCCTGCAAAAAAAGAAAACTGAAACAAATAGTTATGATCCTACTCCATCCATAGTGCAAACTCAAATTGCGAGAAATGAAAGACTTGCAGAAATTCAAAAGAAGATATGGAGCGAGATAAAGATTAGATTAGAAAGGAAAGAACCAAAGAAGAAGAAGAATTATACAAGTTATACACCAATGTCTTCTCCTGTGTAGCACACCGAACATGTTCGGCGCCCCACCGAGCATCCGAACATGTTAGGACGCTCGGCCGAGCGGGAACCGAACTTGTTCGCCTGAGAGCGAAAAGAAGAAGAAGAAGAAGAAGACGACGAAGAAGAAAGAACGAGAGAAAGAAAGAAAGAAAAAGGGGCTGCCAAACGCGTCCTCGTGTGGCCGGTACCGGGGCCATTTCGGCCATTCCGGTCCCCAGGGGGGGCATAGTGGGCAGCAACAGGGGTGTGTGTGTGTGTGATTATGTGTTCGTGTGCAGCAAATACAGCAGCTACATCCGCTGCATCAGCTGCTGTAGATGCCACATCAGCTGCGTCAGCAGATTTGTGTGTGTGTGTGTGTGTGTGTTATAAGCTTCCCCCACAACAACCCCTATTCCAACCAGATGAGTGTGTGTGTGTGTGTGTGTATGTGTGTGTGTGTGTGTGTGTGTGTGTGTGTGTGTGTGTGTGTGTGTGTGTG